CCAACATATAAATAAATTATTTATTCAATCAGTTGACAAGGCAGCCTTAGTCCAAATAAGCTTATTAAATAGAGGGCGCATTGGTTAGTCAGATTAACCCAATGAAAAGAACCTTAACCTGAAAAGAACATGCCGACTTAATTTTATCTCCAGAGCCTCCTAAATCGAAAGTAGAGCCTGCTCGTAAACTATTTTCCATGATTTTCCTCTCGACCTTTACCTGAGCCCAAGGCCTCCCGGATCTGGGTCAGGCTTAGCTCTACTTTGCATGTGTTTACTGCTCTGTCTTCAACGTCCTTGCCAGGCCAATGATCTTCTTAGGGCCAACGATCTTTTGAAGTATTTTTCTTATTTTATTTTTATGATAATATGCTTTCCCATAAAATATACATACGTAGGCTGATTTCATCACAAACATAAATACAATAATAATTTTTAAATTCATACTTATAATTAAACATCTTTGAATTAGATTAAAAGTAAATGATTAAATAATTATTATGTGTTGGGATGTGTGATCTCCGCATGTACAGTGTGTCCCATAAGTAGAGGGAAATGTGTAAAAGATTGTTAGTAGACATGAAGATCTACAAAAAAGTTCATACAAACAATTGCACAATATTCAGCAGAAAAGTAAGAAATTTAAGATTTGTGTTTATTTAAGCGAGTCATTTTTTGTGTTGAATAAGAATTAATATCTCAAAAAATATTTGATTTAAGTAATTAAACATTGCTCCATAGCAAACTAGAATCTTCAAACGAAAGTAGAGTTTATCATCGTTGAATCCATTTAAAGAGGTCTACTAAGCAAACAAACACGGCTACTTATTTGCGATTTTTTTTTTTTGTCACCCTTTAACTGTACTACATTAAGCCAATTTTAGAAAAAAAAAAACTTCCTGGTTTAATAAGCTTTAAGTCCATATTAGTTAGGTTGAGTTTTATCAGGAAAAATGGTGAGATTCACCTCAAATTGTGTAAAAAAATCATGTGATTTTCTATCCGTACATCTAAAAGTAATTTAGTAAGTAATAAAGTAATTAGTAAGTATTTCTTACTTGAGTTACGTTTATTGTTAAATAGATAGCGGGTACTAAGAAAATATTTAAGTACAAATTTTGAAATTGTGTAAACAGATTATGTGATTTGGTATCCACCCAATAGTAACCACGTTTTCAGCAAAAATTATTGCAATAAATTACTGAAAAGCATTAATTTATTGTTTTCCATGCTCTTGGATGTATTATAGTTAATATAAATGCAGAAGTACACTTACTGATTATAAAAAAAAAATTATAGATATTGATATTAATTAAGTAGAGGTTTAATATTGTTCATTTCACTCCATTGTGCAACAGTATCATCGGATAGAGGATATTATCTCCTTGACTTTGAAAAACCTTCGATTGTGTCTGATATAAATACTTATTATGGAAACTAAAACCGCATTTACCATCTTCCTATTATCTAATTCTTCAATCTTTCTTCCTTGAGAGATTTTTCTGTATTTACGTAGATTCTTCTATTTTCTTTTTTTATTTTCAACTAACTGGCGTACCACAACGTTTCAAGCTCAATCCTCTATTTTCATAATATCTCTGATATACTCCTTGCACCACCATCTGACGATACAACAATAGTCCAGACAATTAATGCTCAAAAAGGGAGGAAAGAAGGAAAATAAGCAATTTTTGATTTTGATACATTGTTTGGACTAGTAAGGAGGTAAACATACTGAAAGTCCCGCCTCTTAAGTGTTGAACCCGATGTGGGGAGAGGGGAAGAGAGGCCTAAAAGCTCACTTTTTTCGGAGTTTCGCTTATACCAGGAAAAATATTCATCGCATCGATAAAGACGTTCTATACAAAATTGAAACTCATAAAATTTTCTCTATGATTGATTAAATGAAAACCCAAAAGACAGCAATAAACATGAGGCAAAATTGATAACAATAGTTGAGGACAGATATCTTGGTAACTAAGGGAGGTAGTGAAAAAAAATACATAATCAATTATATTGAAAATTTTATGAGCTTTAATTTTGTATAGAACGTCTTTGTGATGCGATGAATATTTTTTCTGATATCGCTTGTAATAGGAAAACGACCCCCTTCCACTCCGAAAAAACTGACCATATAGGCGCCCGCAATTCTGACTCACCACTTAGAAGTGGGGACTTCTAGTATGTTCACCTCCATACTAGTCCAAACAATGTACCAAAGTCAATAATTGGGTCTCCGCCATTTTCTTCTAGAATCATTTATTGACTTGACTAAAATAGTATAATCCCGTATAAATCCAACATAAACATCTATTGGCATTCAGAATTTGTATGTCATGGTTCAATAAGTATAAAACTAAAATAACGCCACCAAATTAAGTCACGTCAAGTTTCTTTATAAGGAAAGCTTTAAACCCTCAAACAACAGTTAGCGCATCTAAAATTCTTTTAAATGTTAAGATCATTCAAATGTTTGTATGCCTCTACCCGCTAGGGTCATTGGCAATCGTCAATTCACTCACGCTTTTCATATTCTATTATAAAATCCAATAGTTTTCAAGAAGTCCAGCAAGACTTCCACTTCTCTCTCCGCATCCTGCTACACGTCCCTGATAGTTTCATGCATGTTTAAATTCTTTCGGATAACTGCATAATATGTGCAATCCACCAGTATGTGGTTCACAGTTCTAAGAGGACCACACCTGACGCAAGTAGGTGGTCCTCGACAGTGGAGAAGGTAGCCATGCGAAAATTCGCAGTGACCAATTCTGAGGCGGCACAGGATAATTTCCTCTCTTCTAGACCTCCTGTTACGCGTACGCCATTTTGCACTATTTAGTTCAACCAGAGCAAATTTGGAGGGAATCCTTTTCCACGTTTCATTCCATTGAGCGATTATTTGGAGTTTCGCTTGCCTCACCCAGTCCTCCCGAGGAACATATTCAATTGATTTTATCTCATGGTTGACTTGTGTACTAGCCATTCGTGATGCGACGTCTGTCTGTTCGTTTCCGCGTATACCACAGTGGGATGGAGCCCAAATGAAAGCTTTAATTAAAGCTTTAAATGAAATTTAATTTATACTGTTCATAATTAATATATATTACACAAACTTGGGTGACGATTGTTCTTAGAAAATAGTATTCTTATAATTGGGGAGTTTTCAATCTGGAGGATGGCAAACTTTGTCTATTTAATTAGGTACATAAACTCCGAAATACCCATTCGCTTTCCACTTTACTCGTGAGATGGCTTGAGCACAAAGTCGAGAAAAAAAGTGGCCTTCAAAAACATTAAGCCATTTGGCCTATATAACCTCGATATTTTGACAATTTGGGAGTTCAGATCAGGCCAACGGCTCAATATTTTTGAAGGCCACCTTTTTTCTTGACTTTGTACTCAAGTTATCATACGATTATAGTGGAAAGCAAATTAAAGTGCACATCTCCTGAACTATTTTCGACGATGATGTTGGGTTATCAGTGTAGGCGTAGACAAAGCCCAATTTATTTTATAGCAATGAAACGCATTTATCAAATCATTGAAGGACAGAATATTATCTTCCTACGTCATCATTTGGATAAGAATTCCAAATCACGCAAAAGTTTAATTATACGAGACATGAGTAAGTATTTGTTACTCATATCCGTTTCTCCATAGAGGAAACATCTGATTGCTTAAATACTCGTAGTATCTGCCCGCTCGCGATAATAGCGTTGGTCATGCTTTAACAATACTTTAATCAATCTTACAGGTCAAGTCATCATAACCTCTTTTCTCACCACATAGCTTTTAATGATAAATACTCTTGATGTAGAATAAAATTATCTATCTATTTATAACTAGTAAACTATCTAATTATCTATAAATTTATCGAACTTATTGTTAGAAAACTTTATTTTTATTTATATTACCATTGTTTATATATTAGAGTTATTCATGCAACCAGTGTTAAGTAATCTAAACTTCTTAAATGTGTAAAGCCGACAAAATTAATTACGAAATATGTTTCAAATATCCATCACTCTCGGTGTCTGTGGTTGTAGCGCCCTTACTCAATCTCCGCTGGTTTTTAATACCAGTGAAGTGGTTGAGGAAGAAGCGGAGGGATCTCCTGAAGCCTCGCTTTCCCTCCATATGTGGGGGAATAAGTATGGTTCGGAGTTCCCATGGCCGACTATAAATAGTGTAAATAGGTATGCCTGCATCTAAGATGTTTATTTCCATTACTTTTTTTTTTTAAGATAATTTTATTCATTTATTTTTATTCTATTATTACTATTATTTTTATTTTCTTCCATCACTATGATATCTTATTTTGTTCTTTTATAGCTTTATATTATTTGAAATTAGCTTATTCATTTATTTATTTATTTTTTTAATTTGGAAATATGGTGTGAATGTGCTCTCAGAACTCTATTATAAATGTCCTTTATTGAGACAGATTGTAATATTTATGAATAAAGAAATAATCCATTCTCAGCACTCTCGATTTTAACAAGGTCTGAGGTCCTGTAAAGTGTTGCTAACTTCGTACACGCATGGAGAAGGTTATTGTAAGGTTTTGATGTGTTTGATTCTACGTTATTTGTTTGTGTACAATATCCACAGAAATGGAATGTACAGACAGCTAGGATTTTATCAATGCTTTCTGATAAAATCCTTTGTAGTCAAATAATCCAGCAACTCAGTTTTTTCACTTCGCTTAGACATTTTAAAAACATGAAAACGTTATTAGATCAAAAATAAGGGCTCACAAACTTTGTTTACAGTACAGGCATAACCTTACTATAACTGATAACACTTTAGCACGTTAGCTAAGACAAGCTATTTATCATTCATTCAAAAATGTGCTGACTGCTTAGCATTTACAAGTGCCTGAATACCCTATTTTAAATATGTGCCAAAAATACATTATCTATCAATTACACTTCATAAAGCATGTATAATGTAATAATATTTTGTTTTAAAAAATAAAGGAGGCATTTTTAATGTTGCAGCTTCGACAGAGTCGCGATGTTACGACGAACTGGGCTGCCTCAACCTTACCAAAGATTGGTACCACCTCATCTACAGACCCTTCAACGTCTTTCCTCTTCCAAGGCAGACCATCGACACCAAGTTCATCCTCTATACTAGGCTGAACCCGACGGAGGTCAGTATCTCTAAGGAACCTCTAGTTCTATTTCTTTGATATAACTGTATCCTTTGTAATGGATGCGATGTCCCCAGGGTCAGATACTCCGGGCGACAGACGACCCTGGAATCGAGAAGTCTAACTTCGACCCGAAGAAGCAGACCAAGTTCATCATCCATGGCTTCATCGACACACCTCTCAGCTCCTGGGTCAAGGTGAGCAGCTTCTTAATAAACACATTACAGTGGAGTGGTATTTGATCTGATAAGCTGACCAAAGATCTCTTTTGAAGGGAAAACTTCTTTGGGCGCGTTTTGTACGTTTTTTGTGGATACTGGAAGCAAGAGAATTATTCAGTATTTCATCTTTTCTATAATGAATGAATGAATGAATGAAAAAATAATTTTATTCTGGGACTACTGTCCCCTAAGAATAATAACAGAGTTACAAATTTATGTATCTTAGTCTGATATAATAAAAATACCTACTAATCCACTACTGTACCAACTAATGAAACTAAACATTGTACAGATGCAAGTAATTTTACATGTTAGGGGAAGTTTGAATGTGGAGTAGGTGTTGGAACCGGAGTTGTTTGAAGGAATTTGTGGACGAGGATTGACGCATGGAGGTAGGAAGTGAGTTCCAAAAGCTATAATGGCCTACTATTAAAAATTGTATTTTAACGCAAGTATTATAGTACTGTATTAGGGAGGCGAAAAAGAAATAATAATGTCGAAAACTAAATTATAACGAATTTTATTGAAATGTGGATTAAAATATCTCAGAAATTAAAAATTGGGCCTGCTTACTGTAAGCGAGGGAATTATTCAGTATTTCATCCTGTTTCTAATGAGTAGTTGTTCGAAATTGTATCTTAAAGCGTCGTAAACCAATGACTTCCTGTCCTACAGTTTCCTTCAACAATACTCCACTTATCTCTGTTGAGAAAATCCGCTACCTAGGACTCCACCTGGACAAACGACTCACTTGGAACCCCCCTACCAGACTGAAACGACAAGAAACCGCTCGACGTTTCTGATTACTTCAGCACTTACTAGTCAAACGTCCTAAACTTCCAATTAATTACAAAAGACTCATATACATGACTATAATTAGGCCTATTTCGACTTACGGAGTTGAGATTTCGGGCTCCACTAAACCATCGAATTCCTCTCATATCCAATCCTTCGTAAAATCCTCAATGCTCCCTACTCTGTTACAAATAAAACCATCCTTAATGACCTTAATGTTTCTTTTGTTTCAGATCTGGTCCAATCCAAATACCTCTCCTTCCATAATAAACTTCAGAATCATCCCAATCGTTTCTAACCTTGATTCCTCTTCAATTCCTGATTACCCTCCGAGGCGTCTGAAAAGAAGATGGCCCTGTGATCTCCTAATGTAGACATATCATTAGAGTGCTACCATTAGGTAGTTACTCAGCAAGTGTGTTCATGTCATTATATCCATATGTTCAAGTTTACTAGATGTATTTATTTAATACAGTTGTAAATATCATTAAGAAATAAAAAAAGTTTTTATGCCAATTCTTATATGATATTACAATTGAGTACATATATCTTTGAACTACTGGATGACTTGAAAGTTCATATAATAGTGATGTAAGAGTTACTAGCGAGCTTATAATTGAAGCTCATACTGTCGTAGAGAACCCAGTTGTTTATTTCTATTTATTAAATTGTAAAGTAATATACAACAGTTTAAGAAATTAATTTTTTTGTTTGATGAGGAGGGGGGGGGGAGAATTCATTACCTAATCGGCCAGGATCATAGTCTTTTTAAGATCGGCACTGAAGTAACATTAAGTTTAATATAAATAAAATTACCATTAGTTTTGGACAGGTTTTCGGGTCAAATACTCCCCTATGCGTCAGTCCATTCATTAATTTCGATCCATTCATTCATTAATTCCATCGTTTCCAGGAGATGCGACTGGAGCTGCTGAAGAACTCGGACTGGAACGTGGTTGTGGTGGATTGGGCAGGAGGATCGCTGCCTCTGTACACACAGGCCACAGCCAACACTCGCCTAGTCGGTTTGGAGCTTGCCTTCTTCATCAACCATCTTAAGGTACGTTATATCAATTATATATTTATGTATGTAAATATAAAATACAAATTTGGGAGGAAAATAGTTTTAATAAAAAATAATTACTGACTGCGAACAACCACCTGGTCGCAGACCCATGTTCCTTAATCAATGTGGCCGAGACAATGGATAAAAACAACTATCTCGTCCGCCATTACTATTACACCAAGCGACAGCATCAGCTGTTAAAAAGAACAGCTGATTTCATTCTCCTAGGATTTAATTTACGTTTTCACGAAAATAATACAAGCAATTCATCATGTTTCTTTATTTCAAACATAAATATTACGATCGGAAAACTTATTATTTTATTACTAATTAGTGCGGATCAATTTCTATAATATCACTTTAGATGATGAATCTATATAAATAAAATAAAGATTTTGTCTGTACATTGAATAGAATCAACCCATTTTATGATATCTTTCCGTTCCATACATTGCAACGGAATCCAAATCCACTTTTAAAAAATTTTTTGTCTGTCTGTATGTCCGCATTGCAACGAAATTTTGTCAGGAGTAAGCTCCGCAATGGCTTATTGTAGACTTTTGACATTATATTAAGCTTTGCTTGACTTAAAACATAGGCGTTAAACGAAAACAAAATATTGTGTAGAACTAAAGTTATGAATTCTTGAATAATTTGTCTAGAGATCTCGGTTAATGTTGATAATAAATGTTAATAATAAACATATGTTTATAGGTTAAAATTCATCTATATAAATAAAATAAAGGTTTTGTCTGTAATGAAGTGGAGAGACAACAACCCTTTTTGATTAATTAATCGACTCCACAATCTCCTCGGTTCATAATAAATGAAAATTAAACACTTAACAAATTTTAATGGATCCGTGGTGGTCGGTTTAGTTGTGTGGCACCTAAACAAATAGCCGAATAACAAAGTTTTTGTTATGACTATTGCGAATCTTTGACTTCCATAAGCTCCGCCATAAAAAATTACAAAACAAACCCCCTCCCCCTCTCCCCAACCCAATTTTATGAAATTGAATTTGGACCCTCCTCCACCTATAATACAAAATCCATCTCAAAAAAAGATTCTCAAATTTTAACTATACACCCGACAATAACGGGTACATCAGCTAGTATTCGATAAATCATTATTAATTTTTTTTTAAATAAATTGTGTATTTATGCAATTATATTTTTCTTATATTACATCATAAATAACGGAAAAAAATAATTAAAACTTTGCAATAAATTATCGTGTTTTTACTGAAAACATCGGTACTTCTATGTGACAGGATATCAAAAGACCTCATTTCTTTTTACACAACTTGAGGAGAAAGTCAACTTATTTTTTAATAAACTCTCAACTTGATTAATATAGCCTTAAAACCTATTAAATAAGAAAGTTGTTCTAAAAGTGGTTTATCTGTAGTACAGCTTGAAGGCGATAAAAAAAAAAATCACGAATAATTTCTAATTTTTTTTTAAAAACAATACATAGCTTAATTTAATCGCTCAAATGATCTTATTTAAATGATTTTAACAAAGACAAATTTTACATACACTTCAGATTAATTTTCTATGATTAACAATATAGTATTATTATTAATTAATTAGTTTTATTAAAGAGTTTTTTAGTTATTGCTTTTTATTCAACAAAAAACATAACTTAGTTAAAAAAAAAAAAAAAACATTAAATTTCTTTTTCCTTGCTGAGAATCGGGCCATTTTTCATATCCAATTTTTTGTAGCTATTGATATCTGCTACCACACAATCAAATATATCCCTCTACTTACAGGACACTAGAAATCCACCACCATATATATATATATATATATATATATATATATATATATATATTTTTACTTTCCTACCTATACTAGGTAAGGAAAGTATTGTGGTCGAGTTAAATTTCCGATATGCGGTTTTTGACAGATCTATACGTTTCAGAGCCCCCTGAGTCCGGAAAACACATTTTTAACCATTGGTAAGTAGTGGATCGATATTGTTGTTTCTTTTTTTATTTTGTTAGGTTTTGACTACTGACTACGCAATAGTTGCTGCGCAATAAATTAAACACATGTTTTTCTATAGACTGCAGCGCGAAAACGGCTTTAATGATTTTGATGAAACTTTCCTATAATGTTCTAATAATTACTCTTTCAATTTTCGTACATGAACTAAATTCCCTAGAAAAATGTTTTGGGGCCTAACTCGTTTAGTATATATTCTATGGTAAAATTTATAATAAAACCTTTGAAAGGTAATTAAATTACCAACTAGATAAAAACAAAATCATCGGAATCGAACCAGTATTAGCGATGATACAGCTTATTCTATTTTCTACACATGTTTCAATTTATTACTTTCCTACCTATACTAGGTAAGGAAAGTATTGCTCTAGGTAAGGAAAGTAATATATATATATATATATATATATATATATATATATATATATATATATATATATATATATATATATATATTCTTGGAAAAAATTAATATTGAAAAGATTTCATCCTCATGACTTTTACGTAAACTGAAAAGAGTTGGCGAGTCAAATAATGCTAAAAATGCAAGCTATTTTTTTCGAGATTACGAAGATGGATATACGTAACATTATCATAGATATAACGCATAATTTCACAGATATCTTGAATCTCAACTTGTATCTTAACCCAACACCGTTTAGAGAGTAGGAGAGGGAAAAATATATTGTCCAAAATCAAATGATACCGAGTTCATGCTAATATATAGTACCAATTATAATATTATTACAACATTGAAATTTTATTTTGACAACCTTATTAACAATAGAAAAATCATTAAGGACATTTTTAGATTGACCTTGCTTTGATTTCTATATTATATGCAATAGAACTTTGTTGTTAACTTTAAAAATTTCTTACTAAACGAATTTTTTTTTTTTTTATATTTGTTTATTTAGAAATATCACACTCTGTCACATCAAGGACATTTGTAATAGTGTTCAGAGAACACACTCACACTCTATTTACAATAAATAAATAAAATAATAATAATACAGAAACTTAATAATAATAAACACAATAAAATAAAATAAAAATAAATACAATAAAATAAAATAAATGTATATAAACAAAAGAACTAACCTAATCATACACACTCGGGCTTGAGTGGAGGATCTGGCCATTGTCAAAACTCCAATAGATGCTTATTTATAGAAGGTCTCTGGGCCACTGCCGCTTCAACCTTCGAGGAGGATTGTAAGGATGGGTGGTGCTGGATAGAGATTTTGCAAGGGGATTTGGATGATAGGTAAGGTTCTGGTGAAATTTGGAGAATTTTTCTGGAATAAGGTCTAGGACAAATGGGATATTAAGGTCATGGTGTAGGATTTTGTTATTTACATAGAACGGAGCATCAACTATTGTTCGAAGGACTTTAGATTGAAAGGATTGAATACGTTTGATGTTAGAAGCTTTTGCTGTCCCCCACAGTTCAAGTCCGTATGTCCATATAGGTTTCAGTATTGTTTTGTAGATAAGTAATTTGTTTTCAATAGAAAGTATGGATTTTCTGTTTAGTAGTCTGTATAGCTGGCCGTATCGTCGGTTGAGTTCTTGTCTTTTGAGTCTAGTATGTGGGTTCCACGTTAGTCTTCGGTCTAAATGAAAACCAAGATACCGGACTGTGTCTGAGTAAGGAAGCTGGATGGAATTAAAGTGTACTGGTGGACAGGAACTGCGTCGGAATGTAAAGGTAAATGGATTTTAAGCTTGAAGAGCAGTCCGGAGTGCCGTACCCGGTCAAATGCCTGTGCAATGTCCAGAAATGCACCCGAACAGTATTCCTTGTTTTCTAGAGCTGAGGAAATACGATCAACAACTCGGAGTCCTTGTTGAACAGTAGAATGTTGGGAGCGAAAACCAAACTGATGGGAAGGAATATTTTGGGATTCTATAATGGGTAGGATTACTAAACGAAATTAAACTAATTAACCAAACAACAATACAGTAAATACTGTTTGATCTGTTTTGATGTAGAAAATGTATTTACCAATATCAACTGGAAAGATGTTATCAAAATAATTGAAAAATACTAGGACACAATAGAACTGCATACCCAAATTAAAGGGTTTTAGTGGAGATATGGATTAAAATATCTCAGAAGCTAAAATCGGACCTACATACTGTAAGCGAGGGAAATGTTCAGCATTTGACTCTCTTTATAATGAGCCATTATTTATAATTTATATTTCATATTATTAATCTTGTCTTGTTGTTGTTTTCACTTATATCGTGTGGTCTAAAGCACACTGTTTATTTATTTATTTTTTTTAGAAGGGAAGGTATGAAACTTTCGTTTTCTATGGGTTTTTATATTTAAGCAGGAAGTTTAGAAATTCTAACTTATATGGCATTAAAGTGTTGATTTCACTATATAATTTTGAAATGCAAGGGTCATACTCTCTTAGAGTTCATCGTTCGTCGTTATCTTCATGCCTTCGAAGACTTCCCGGCTTGCAGGGGTCATCTTGCACCCTCTCGTTTCTTGAAAATTGCAGAAGTTGCGAGAGATGGTTGAGTAAAGGTCTGGTTCATTGAACGACCTCTGACCGACTTGTGAGGTCAGCTGCGCTCATCGGTCAGTTTTGGCTCACAACTCATGAAGTCAATAATAGCAAATGGAAGAAGAGAAGTTTGGGAATTATTGCTGTGTTATTATTCTTCGATGGCTCCGATCTATATCATCTCAACAAGATAGCTCTCAAAGATTTAATTAATGAATGTTGTTATAGTTAACCGATATTTTTTTTCTTAAAAAAACTGTACTTTGAACGGAAAACGAATTTCAATTTTGTTTCTCGTCAAAAAAAAAATTTACCCTACATTTCCACGTCGGTCAATACAATTTTTTTTTTGGTTTATTATTTTCAATCGTACAAAAAAATAACCTTCCCCTCAAAAGCTGACACTTGACGTTTTACGACACTTAGAACTTGAAAATAGAATAAAAACTCGTTTGTCCGTCCG